ATCAAGATTCGCTAACAAAACAAACAAAGGTGAAGGCTAAACCGTATTCATTTATTTATCCGGATAAACTAACACTATATATGCCCAAGGAGCCGCAAGTCTCGGGATCCGAAGTCGGGAATTCAAGATCCGCGACTTTGGGGACGAAGATGAAGGCCCCTTAGTATGAAGATGATTGACACCAAGACGGATCAGGATGGTCCGTCGAGGATCTGAAGTACATGTACCACCGGAAGGAGCTATGCAACTTCGTACGGCAGGATCCGATGATGAAGATCCTGAAGCTGAAGTGGATCGCGGAGCCAAAGGATCCAGTAACTATCCCCGCGATAGTAACCAACAAGATCGACGCGGTAACAGCGCTTATCAGGCTGCTGAAGGAAGTCGGCATGAACTTGGGATCCGTCGAGACGGATGATCTGTTCGATCTGGATCTTACCGTGATACAAGCCACAAACCGAGATCTCTTTGAAGAGCTGAAGATCCTGGTTGGCGACGTTCCCCAGATCACCGATCCGGTATCACCGCCCCCGATTGACACAGTGGACAACCTGACGGCGCCATCATACTACGCATCTGCTGCTGAAGACGGATCCGACACATCATGAGAGCCCGGCGTATGTCGCTGGGACCTTCAGGAGCGGCAATGCTGGAGGCGATATCCAAGATCCGGCGTCCAAGCCCAGCCACATCTGGTAGTCAGCCTATTGGATCAACGCTGGCTGATCATGACACAATCAGTTCGAACTCGGAGTAGTCAGCTGAAACGCTGCAGAAGTTCTTCAACGCCGTGATGGACCGGTTCGTAGCTGAACAACAAGCAGCAGGTGCGGATCCAGTCGTTACAGAATCTGAGAATACCAGATCACGGGACGTTGAGTTGGAGCCGATCCGTCTGTCGGATTGCGGATCCAATTAGAAATACGATCCGGACGACATCGACTTCCCGGCACCCGCCCAAGCGACTGTAGCCACTGCCGCATCCGGACCACTGCATCCACCATGGTCCAATCAGACCGGATCTCGGCAATCTCGGATCTCAAGGCGTTCACGGGCAAGGATCAAGACGAAGATCGCGCGCGAGCGTGGATCAGCAAAGTGAAATCTGCGTTCATGGGAGATGAAGCATCAGATGACGAAAAGTGTCTGACCTTTGCAGATCTTCTCGCTGGATCCGGCAAGAACTGGTATTGCCAGCTGAGCAGATCCACACGCAACAAATGGAGCGATCTGCTTTGCAGTTTCCAGATCCAGTACGGTGGACTTGGAGTATCGGTAGCAAGACAATACTACCATACGGGACGTAGATCTGACGAATCACCACTGGGGTACCTGTATCGGCTCAACGTGGCGGGACTCCGTGCGCGGCTGAAGATCAAGGATGTCTGCGCGGAAGATCGACGTGAACATGTGTATCATTACATCGAGACGCTTGAAGATCAAGCTCTAGCAGAACGGTTAACTTTGCTACCGTTGACCGACCCAGATGATCTTGAAGAAGTCCTTCGCGCTCGGGATCGAGCAAAGAATCATCCGCAGAAAGCTTCGTTTTGATCTGGCAAGTATCGCCAGAAGACAGCCAATACAGCCCCTCAGCTCCAGCGAAACAAGTGCGTGCGATCCAGATTCAAGCTAACGACTCTGGATCCGACAGCGAATCTGTGGTGAAGTGGATTCCGAGAAACTACGGACGGAAACTGATCGGATCAAGTGAAGTGACAGGTGTGCTTGGATCCGAAGTGCCTACTGTGAATCCAGATCTGAGAAGGTCTGATGGACTCAGATCAACTGATTCTGAGGTGATTGGATAAGTCTGGAAGGACCTATTTATAGGTGCCTGATCTGGGTATAGTTATGTCTGATCCAGATATGATTACCCAAGGCGAATCAGGATCAAGTAAATAAGGTAAGCATTCGGCGGTATACAGCCAGATCCGAAGATAAGCATATGATGGGAGGGAAATATGTGGATCCAGGTAGTAGAGAATGAGACAAATCAGGATCAAGAACTTAGGAATAAAGAGAATCGAATTTGCATCATTGGGCACAAGTGGCTGGTTTCTTGTTGATCCACACTTAGTGTACTACTGACACATCGGATCAAGGCTTATACTGGTTATATAAGGTGATATCGTATTAGGAATACTGTATTTAGTGTAGTTTGGATAACTGGATAATATATTGGCCAGGTCCAATTACCTAATACTCATTCTATACGTACAAGCTCCGGATCCACAGCATTTAGTGCTTGGCTGTGAAGATCCATCGATTTCTCAACTCCCCCCAAGACCCAGCCATCGGAGGCTGTAAGCAATTCAAAGGGATCGCAAGATCAACAACTGCCAACACACCAAGGCAACTCAACGGCCGGATCCAACATCCGCCACCGGTGATCCACGTTCGACAGCTCACGTGGACTCAGGATCATACTACGCGGCGGCAGAACGAAGACTTTCCGCGCTATTACGCCACATCTCTGCATCTCGCCAAGACATTCAAGATCTTCAACACTTGGACCTCTCCTGCAGTTACCGGAGGAGCAAGATCCAGCCCTACCGACGGGTACACAAGGTGAGAAAGTTCACCTGATCACGGATCAATAGGAGTACCCCCTCCTATAGTCGGTGTCCAGGACACAGTGGCAAGCCGGATACAGCATCTTCACAGATTTTGCTGATCCCGCTCCACCACAAATCTGACGGATCGGGTGGATCCGACTCTGACATCGACAGTCATCGCAGGATCTTCCTTGCAGCGAACGGAGATGTTACTCCGAAGGTGGAAAAGAAGTCGGCGAACCGGGATCCACGACTTCTGGACCGTGATCATGGCCATCAAGATCACAACTCGAAGATCCAAGGAAATGGTTTTAACCGTGATCTATGCTCGCACTGTGGATCCAAGAAGCACTCGGATCTTGGTTGCTGGAGGCTTGTTACATGCACGAAGTGTGACAAGAGAAGACACCTCTCAGATCATTGCCTATTCGTGTGTCGTGGATGTGGAGAACTGCTTGACATGGGAAAATGTCCGATGGAAGAGTTCTATAACCAGATCTGCCAGCGGTTCAACCCCACGAAGCACATGGGTATGTTACCCGAAGCTGCTGAGAAGATGTTAAACTAGGACGCTTGTCGAGGTGGAATCCGATACGAGCCGAGCGTTCTAGATACTGCATGTATGCATTTGTGAACAAGACATCGGTAGATCAGGTTAGTAAACGACCAGATCTACACGGTAATACATGTGATCTGCATGGAAAACGCACCTTCGCAATTTCAAGTCTTCGCCAAGTCGACGAGTATGCCAGATCTGAAGTCATCATGAGTGTGAATCTCCAACCAGGAGAGGCACGAGGTTATTGGAGACTGCGAGATCCAGACCTATGGTTTAAACCCACGGATCACGAGGTTACGTCGGAGATCAAGGGACCTAGCAAGATCTCGGAGTACCGACGGCCAACAACCGTGGATCTACTACCGGGAGAGTCTCGTGGTTACTGGAAACACCATTCACCAGGAAAATGGGTTT